AGAGGCCATGTGCGCATGGGTGCCAGGTTATCATAGACAATCATGTTTAATAAATCGAGAGAAGCAGATATGGTCTATAGCACTTTTTTTTTTTTTAAATGTTGAGAGACTTTTAACCAAGATGGATTACACTGAAATGTCTGTCTACTACAGCTGGGACACACGATCCAATAACACCGCAAAGCCTAGTCATTCTGTGGATGCCCACACGGCTGAAGTCAACTGCCTGTCCTTCAACCCCTATAGCGAGTTCATTCTGGCCTCTGGCTCAGCAGACAAGGTCTGTGATCTGCATAATCACACATGCACACACATCTGTGAGAAGTTTTGATTTGGAGATCCTTCCCCATGCGGAAGAGAACCCCTTAAAGCCCAAAGTATGCTTCAGTTTTGACGCTCACTGGTTTGATGTGTTTGTTTGTGGCTGTAGACTGTTGCATTGTGGGATCTGCGTAACCTGAAGCTGAAGCTTCACTCTTTTGAGTCACACAAGGATGAAATCTTCCAGGTAACACTCAAAGAATAACACTCAAGATTCTGTGACAATGTAACAATATTTAATCCAAGAAAAATGCAAACAGATTATTGCAATAATAATGTTGATGCACTTGACAGGTCCAGTGGTCTCCCCATAACGAGACCATCCTGGCTTCCAGTGGCACAGACAGACGCCTCAATGTATGGGATCTAAGGTAAGACTTTATTACTCTCTCTATTCTGTTGATTTTCATTCCTGAAAAAACCTTAATGCACATTCCTGATGTTAATGTGAACATCTAACTATATTTAGATCCACTGATGCTATGTTGATTGCATTGTTACATGTATGTCCTCTAGTAAAATCGGAGAAGAGCAGTCTGCGGAGGACGCAGAGGACGGGCCACCCGAGTTGCTGGTGAGTAAAGATGGACTTGCTGAAAAAAATCTGACAGATAGAGCTATAGACTCTTAATAACGATTTCAATACCAAAGCAAGAACATGCTAAGTTTGCAGTATTTTATTTAAAAGGTTAAATGTTTGTATGACAATTAATATATATGAATTTATTTTTATTTTTTTTGAAAGAGGACTTTTATGCTCACCAAGGCTGCATTTATTTGATCAAAAAATAGTGAAAACCGTAATAATTTGAAATATTATTTCAATTTAAAATAACTGTTTTCTGTTATTCCTGTGATGCAAAGCTGAATTTTCATCATTACTCCGGTCTTCAGTGTCACACGATCCTTCAGAAATCACTCTAATATGCTGATTTGCTGCTCAAGAAATATATTTTTTATTATCAATGTTGAAAACCGTTTTGCTGCTTCATATTTTTGTACATTTGTAGTATATTTTTTACAAAGAATTCTTCGATGAATAGCAAGTTTAAAAGAACAGCATTTATTTCAAATAAAAATATATTTTGTAACATTATAAATGTAAGTGTCACTTGTGATCAATTCAGTGTGTCCTTGCTGAATAAAAGTATTAATGTCTTTCAACTGATCCTGTAGAAACGCTTTTTTTTTTTTGCCCCAAAGTTCCAGTGCTTAACATCTCTACTGATATTTCTGGCATATTTTTTACTGACATCTAATGTAAGGACATTTTGATTGTTTTGGCAGTTCATTCATGGTGGGCACACAGCTAAGATCTCTGATTTCACCTGGAACCCAAATGAACCTTGGGTAATCTGTTCTGTGTCAGAGGACAACATTATGCAAGTATGGCAGATGGTATGTTCAGCGAAAACATTAAAGATTTACCTTCCTTTGGTAATGAAAGTCACTAATAAAGTGATTTGATTTGTAGTTTTTGATAAACTTTGATATTAGGACTTATTATTAATGTCATAATCTCAGACTAAACATCTCTTGTCTAGGCTGAGAACATCTACAATGATGAAGAGCCGGACACCCCTGCGTCAGAGCTGGAAGGGCAGGCGTCGTAACTGATCTCATTAAAGATCTACAACCCTTTCATGAATTCCTACTCCTCAGCTTTTGCTTTGCAGTATTATTCAGTAAATTCCATTCTCTTACTTCCTATTCCATACATACCAGATACTTTATCCATCACAAGGTCCTTCTGTAGACACTTTTCTAAAAGGTTTACCCCTTAGAAGTTTGGCCTCAGATGGTTTGGAGAAACACTGCACCACTTTTTCAATCACTTCTGAGAAGTTACAGCCTGGTGTGGCTTATCACAGTTTTAGTTTTTGTGCATAAACCTGGTGTCAATTTGCAATAAATCTTTTGTAATAACCTTTAAAATGATTTTGTATTCCTAAATTGTTAACTCTCTGTACTTCACTTGTGAAAATAAAGTACAGATCAACTGTTAGATTTTTTTTCTGTTTCTCTTATAACATATAAAGTTTAAACATTTCCTTAAATAGTACTTCTTATTAGTGATGCACTGAAAATGAAAATCTGAAACCAAAAATTTAAGATGCACTTGGCCAAAAACTGAAAAGAAAAAAAAAAAGTATTAAATGATCCAATTTATTAAATAATCAACACTAAAATAAGTTGTACAAACATGTAAACTGCACATAAGGCAGTTTTTATGTCAACTTTTTAATAACAGAATTGTTACTACAATTTAGTGTTGAAATATGGACATTTAAACGGCTGTAATGAAAAACTTATGACATTTATTTAAACATTAAATAATGAAGGTCTTTCCTGAGGTAAACGTGATATGTGATATTGTTTACAAGCTGTTTTATTGACGTCTTTCTACGGGTCAAACACTCATGGAGCGATTACATGAGACATGATACATTTCAGTAAGTTGTTCTGTTTCTTTCAACATACATTCTGATGCTCATTCATGTTTATTTCTTGCTATAACTAGTAGTAAAGAGGACAAGATAAATGGTTGCCTCTTGAACTGAAACACTACAGCGATCTGTGACGCCAGATTAAAGAGCGGCAAAACTAGTTTTATTGTTTGTATTTCATAAAATTGAAAGCTGAGAATTTGTTTCATATTAAAAGCAAAGCACAAAGCTTATTGCGATGAAGGCACTACAAAATAATGTTCAGTAAAGTTAACACATCAACAGAAAACATCACAGACTAAAAGATTTACTGTGAGACTTAAGAATCCATATCAGTATCAATTAAAAACAAGAAATTGATATTAATCCAGCACTATCATCCATCACACAGTTGACATGTGTTTGCCTGATTATCCACATTGTCTCTACGAAATAGAGGCAGTGAAAATCATCACAATGATTTTCAGCCCTCAAAAAAAATGTCCGGCTACATCACTACTTTTTGTATCTGGACATGTGAAGACGCAGTGAAACAAGATACAACAGTAAGGAAAATTCTACAAAATGTTTTTATTGAAAAGCAAGACAGAACTACAAGAGTGTTGTACAATCTCAGAGGGGACATAGGCTGAGCTAGGGGAGAAAGAAAAGCTCTCGAGCATCTTTCACAGTACGTCTTACCTGAAGAGGTAGATTTCTTGCATAACCTGAGAATCAAACCGGGGCATTGCCAAAAAAGCAGTAGCGATACAAATGACAGTACCAACAAATTTAGAATTAACATGACCCCAATTACAGATGTATTTATCAAAACGAGTGCGCACTTCTGCAGACAAGATAAAATATTTGACAGTGAGGTGAAACTGTTACGAGGAAATCAAGTGCTGAGATGTTATAGAAATCAACATTGTTATCCAAAATTTGGAAAGGGGAAAAAAAAAACCTGGTGAAGATCTACCTTTCCATTCTGTTGAGTTTTACAGTTTGGCGAATTTAAACACATTCAGCCCATGTTTCTAATGAACAGCAAAACCTTGTCCTTCTGCACGTCATTACAAAACATGATTAATGTTAGTAATACTAATCAAAGTAGATGATCATGTTCAGTGCGTGTTAAATGAAAACCTTGGATGTGTTTCGTTGGATTCAGCATTGAGGAATGTACTGGCCAGTGTCAGAGGTTCAGATCAGGACATGAACAGAGCCAGATGTCATGGACCTGAGGCGGCAAGTGTTTCTAGACCCTGTGTCCCCGCAGCCTGATAATGACCAGATCTTAAAGGCTTTGAGGCCGTTTGTTTAGACATGGATTTGGCAGCTTCTACATTCATCAGTTCAGTTCTTGACATGGTTTCACATTAGCAGTATTGAGAATGTTTGCAGCTCTTCAGAACATTTTAGCACTGAATTACAGACATTTTATTCTTGTTCATTACAAAGTCCAAAAAAAGAAAGAGAAATCACATTCAGCATATCCAGTATCAAATATGTCCAGGCCCCTTTGAAAAATTTTTGTCAGTTTTGTGTCCAGTTAAAGAGCAAAAATAATGCAACCTCCAAAAAAAAAAACAATTAATTTTTTTTAACATTTAAAGGAATAGTTCACCTCAAAAATAAAAAAAATTCTATCATTTATTCAGGTTCACGTTGCTCCAAACCTCTATGACATAAAAGAAGGTATTTAAAAATATTTGTCCATACTATGAAAGTCAATGGGGTCCAATGTTGTTTTTTAGACAAAAACTATTTGAGATATCTTCTTTTGTGCTCCACAGAAGAAAAAAAGACACGCAGGTTTGGAGCGACATGGAGCGATATATTTGGGTGAAATACCATTTAAAGAAGAAAAAAAAACCCACACACAAACAAGCGGTCATCAGGATTAATTAACAGCATCATCAAGGCAATAAAGCATATCAAACAAAGGTCATCTCACCCTAATAGCAAACTTTATGTCCTCCTTATTCAAAAATATTAAGGAGAGTTTATAGTAAATTAGGAAATATATTCAAATAATTTTTTTTCATGAGTCAATTATATGATTTTGGTAACAAAGCAGATTGATTTGACAGTTTTATCAGCTTCAGTTATCTAATCCAACGGTTGACTGGCTTGGAAACCCAGATTCAACAAAAACAACTACCCTGTCTCTTAAATAAAAGGGCTTGAGAAGTGAATTTTAATGAAATATAAATGCATGTGGAATTTTATCAGAAGTACTGAGTTTTTTTTTTCTGCTGGTTAAGATGCTTTCTCTTCGTCTGTCATGCAACAAAAAAAGTCCTCCCCGTAGAAAGTTCTTGAAAGTCTTAGGATTTCACATAATTGTTGGAGATGTAGCAGCCTTTTTCAAAGTCAAACTAGCCCTTAATCAGAGTCCCATTAGAAAACCAGTCCCAGGCGGAGAGGAGTCTTGACCCCTCTCCTATTTAGAAGACATGTATCTTCCTTTAAAGTCCATTTCAATCAAAGCAACAGAAGCGTGACTTGTCATGGACCCGTCTTGGCTCAGACTCAAAGTGCCAATGAGTAGTTGAGTGTGTTAATGTATCTCCCCTGTTATTAATGCCGTTTCTCAAGTCTCAAGGTTATCTGGTCATCTAGAGCTGGACTGGCTTGTTGACTATTTTAAAATGGCAATATTTAACATTATATGCATCCAAAATGATTTATTCAGATTCTAGAGGTCAGAGAGAAGAGCTACATTTTATGCAAGAGGAACGTAAAAGCGTGCAAGCACAGCACAGCTGAGCAGAGAACAGGGGGAAGGAAAAGGAAAAAAAACGTATGAAACGAAGCTGCATGGCGGCCGTCTTGGACCACATGATCATTTCCTACGAAAATACAATGTGATAGAAAACAGGGAGTAAAAAGTGCTTTTCACAAAGCGGATTACCAACGTATAGAGTAGTTAGCGTCTTCACTAATGTCCTGCTTTTTCCCCACTAATTTTTTTATGATAATAGTTAGACAAAAATATATACCTCCACAAAAAGAAAGGAAAAGAAAGGCCACCAGAAGGCCAGGATCATTCGTCAGTGAGTTGTGTGGATGATATGGTGCCCACTTCCTCAGGCTGAAGCCCGAGTTTCTCTGTTTGAGGCACCAAACCCTCCATCTCTCCCTCCATCTCTGGGTTAAGCCCCTGTGGCTGAGGGTCAGGAGGCCCCGTACCTTCTTCCTCCGGATCTTTCGCTGGGTCCTGAAGGGCCTGCAGTTTTAGGTTCAGGTCGTTGCGTTCTCTCTGGAGGGCCCTGCAAAGCTTCTCCAGACGCTCCAGTTTCCCTTGGAGGGCCTTGTAATTCTTGTCTCGCACCGTTTTCTAAGAGACAAACAGGAAGAGCAACTTTAAAAACAGATTGAAATTTGAAATACTCAAAAGTTTGAGGTCAGTATGATTTTTCTTGAAAGAAAACAATACTTTTATCCAGCAAGGATGCATTAAATTGATCAAAGGCGACAGTGAAGACATTTATAATGTTACAAGACTTCTTTTTACATAAATGCTGTTCTTTTGAACTTCCTTTTCATCAAACAATTCTGAAAAAACATATCACAGTTTGCAACTATTTTGAACATGATAATAAGAAATGTTTCTTGAATGGCAAATCAGCATATCAGAATGATTTCTGAAGGATCGTGTGACACTGAAGACTGGAGTAATGATGCTGAAAATTCAGCTTTGATCACAGGAATAAATGACATTTTAAAATAGAACAGTTCTTTTAAAGTGTAATAATTTCACAACATCACTGTTCTTACTGTATTTTTGATCAAATAAATGCAGCCTTGGTGATCAGAAGAGACATCTTTCAAAAACATATAAAACCATATCAACCTTTTGAACAGTAGTGTATATCTATGTCTTGACCCATCTCTTATTTATAAGACACATTTATATTGGACTTTGCCTCAACAAAAGTTGAGCTGCCTGCACACACTCACCAAACTTTATAACGATTAATGATATGTGCTACAGTTGGGGGAAAAAATGTTACTTGAAATAAAATACATTAACTGAAATAAAATGTAAAAACCTATTTTAGCTTGTTGCAAGGCAACATTTCTCATTTTAATGGTTTAAATGGATCTATTATAACTAAAACTGAAATAATGTATAGAAACTATATAAACAAAAATACTAAAACTTTAACAAAAATGAAAACAGAATCTAAAAATAAAAACAGATTATTATTTTAATAAAACTACTATAGTATCTAAAAAACATTGTGACTTTCTTCACTTTTATTATGTAAATGTACATTGCTCTACAACATAAATTCCTCACAGTTCTACCTTGAATTTAGAAATATGAATTTATGCATGCTTTAAAAACACAACTGCTCTAACATTCCTCTCACCTCTTCTGCCATCTGCAGTAGAGTCTGGTTGTTGGTCTCCCATTTGGTCCTCCATAGCGTGGTCTCCTTCTCAAGCTTCTTGATTTTCTTCGTCATCTGATTAGTGTCAGAAAATAAAAAAGGGGTCATAAAAAATAAGCCTTTCCACACAGAGAACTAAGAGATCATATTCGCTCGACTTTGTCTGTCTTTTAAACAATCAGAACTGATCACTTCATTGTCCGAAAGCATTCTATTTGGAATTACGTGAAGATGAAAATGTAGAAATACTACAACATTACAATCCTTACAGATAAGAATGATGCTATTTTGCATAAATAATTATAACATGAAAATAATAATAAATAAAACTTAAATCAATTGTTTTAAATGCTAAAAGTGAGTTTAGGCATCACAGCGATGTATAGTACGAAATATGCATATAAATTGAGATTTGCTAAAGATTATAATTAACAGTGTAATTAAATAATTTGTCTTTTTACAGTTTAATGTCAAGTGACCGTTAGAAGACTGAAATTCATAAAGTGGAAGTAAAGACATTTGTTACAAAATTTGTATTTCAAATAAATGCTTTTCTTTCATTCTGTTCGTCAAAGAATCATAAAACAAAATGTATCACAGTTTGCACAGAAATATTAAGCAGCACAACTGTTTACAACACTGATATGAAGAAATGTTTCTTGAGCAGCATATCATCATATTCTAAGGATTTCTGAAGGATCATGTGACACGGAAGACTGGAGTAACAATGCTAAAAATTCAGCTTTGCATCACAGGAATAAATTACATTTTAAAATGTTGGACTATTGCAACGCTCTCTTGGCAGGTCTTCCAGCCAGTTCTATCAAACCTTTACAATTAATCCAGAACGCGGCAGCAAGATTCATTTTTAATGAGCTGAAAAGAAAGCACGTCACACCTCTGTTTATCAATTTGCACTGGCTACCAATAACTGCTCGCATAAAATTCAAGGCATTAATGTTTGCCTACAAAACCACCACAGGCTCTGCACCCCTTTACCTAAATTCATTACTTCAGACTTATGTGCCTCTAGAAGCTTGCGTTCTGCAAGTGAACGTCGCTTTATTGTGCCATCCCAAAGAAGCACAAAATCACTCTCACGGACTTTTACATTAACTGTTCCCTCCTGGTGGAATGACCTGCCCAACTCAATCCGAGCAGCTGAGTCCTTAGCCATCTTCAAGAATTGGCTAAAAATACATCTCTTCCAACTCTCTTTATTTCACCCTCTAACTCTAGCACTCTCTATTCTAATTCTATTCTTTAAAAAAAAAAAAAACCTAACACTAGCTTTTCTAATCTTTTTGTATTCTATCTATTTATTTTCCTTTTATTTATTACATAATTTACAAAAAAAAGTGTACTGCGTTAAGCTAACTGAGACTTGTTATAGCACTTATATAGCATATCATTGCTCTTTTGTTGATTTTGATTGCTTCCATTGTCCTCATTTGTAAGTCGCTTTGG